CGCTACGAAGTCTCGCTAGAGCCTGTCTATATCTGAAATCTATAATACTAGAGGCATACTTTTCCGTATAATTACTAGATTTAAATAACCTATACGTTCTTAGCTTATTGTCGTTATTACACCTACGGTCATCATATAGTTCTCTATACCAATTACGATTATCAACATTTGTAAAATGATTCTTGACTGCCTTTATACATTCTTTGGCAGATATTGTAGAACATGTAAGTAGATTATATAAGTTATTGTCCCTTAGGAGTTTAATAACTCTGTTCTCCCAGCTGCGATTGACAGAAACAGACCAAATGTGTATTTTCTTTGGTAATCTAACCTCATCCAAGAATTTGAAATTTATCCACAGTCTACAGACTTCAACTTTTTGGTTCACTTCACAAGAGTTCCACCCAAGGTCGCCTCATGCGGCGATGTTAGAACCGTTTTCCCAGTTCCGAGGAAATATCTACACGCACGGTTTTGAAGTGTTTGAACGAAGCGATATTTGTTATGTCCCCATATCGCACTACAATAAAAGAGTACAGGTTCCACAAGTGACTTGTAAAGTTGTCTAAAACTGCTAGTGACATCCCTCCTGCGAATTTTGATTTCGTTATAACTGCACTTAATGCTCTATTTGCTGATTTGGCTAGTTCGCGCACAGATATCGACAAATCCAGGTGCTCTGTAAACCAGAATCCGGTACCGATCAATATAATCAATATCGATATCGCCACACTTAAATTTGAAGAGAGATTACGTTGAGATGAAGGATTTCTGAAATGGATCACTTTAGTTTTATCCTTGTTGATCAGTAGTCGCCACTTTCTAAACCAGTGATTAAGGCACTGGAGCATCCGTTGAAGAGAGAGTTCATCCGCTGCTAATAGCGCGATATCGTCCGCGTACATTAAAAGCGAGATCATATAGTCGCCGTATATCACACCACATTGTAGAGCCTTAATATCACTCGCCAGATCGTTCACGTAGATTGAGAAAAGAGCAGGAGAAATATTACACCCCTGTTTTACGCCCTGTGTGACGTTGAACCAATCTGTGACGTAATGATTTAAACGTGTTGCACATCTGACGTCACTATATAACGATTTGACGGCGTTCATGAAAGCTCCCTCGATGCCGATTGCATATAATTTGTACCATAAACAATCCCGATTTACAGTGTCGAACGCCTTGCGTATATCCACAAAGCATACAAAAGTACAAAGTTTTTTCAATTTCTTGTTGTTGACTGTGTTGTAAAGCGAGTAGATGTGATCAAAACAGTTTCTTTTTTGCCTAAAACAATTTTGTTCCTCTACTAGTACATCATGCATTTCTAGCCATTTGTTTAATCTCCGACCTAGTACATCTGTGTAGATTTTACAAGGAATAGATAGTAATGAGATCCCACGATAACTAAGAGGGTCTGTAGGATCCTTGTTGTCTGATTTCGGAATAGGCTGTATTATTCCTGATGACCAGTCACGTGGTATCTCTCCATTAACGAAACAATGGGTAAAAATTTTTAGAAGAATGTCAACACATGTATCATTGCGCAGAACATCCGCTGGAATCTTGTCGAAACCGGGGGATTTTCTTAGTTTTGCTCTGAAAATTGCTGACTTCACCTCCTCCCGTCTAATTGGAACGTTCAAAATAGAAGTGTCCAAGGGACGACCCGGGCCGACGGCGCAGTGTCACTATATCACTAGATCAGTCGTGGTACTGTTTGGAAAGTTTTAGTGGTACATAGAGTCAGTAACTTGTTGTTACAGGTTTAGTCGTGGTACTGTTTGGAAAGTTTTAGTGGTATATAAAGTCAATAACTTGTTATCACTAGATCAGTCATGGTACTATTTTGGGTGTTTTAGTGGTATATAGAGTCAGTAACTTGAAAATCACCTGATCAGTCATGATACTATTGTGGGTGTTTTAGTGGTATATAGAGTCAGTAACTTGAAAATCACCTGATCAGTCATGATACTATTATGGGTGTTTTAGTGGTATATAGAGTCAGTAATTTGTCATCACTAGATCAGTCATGGTACTATTTTGGGTGTTTTAGTGGTATATAGAGTCAGTAACTTGAAAATCACCTGATCAGTCATGATACTATTTTGGATGTTTTAGTGGTATATAGATTCAGTAACTTGTTATCACTAGATCAGTCGTGGTACTGTTTGGAAAGTTTTAGTGGTATATAGAGTCATTAACTTGTTATCACTAGATCAGATGTGGTATTGTTTTGAAAGTTTCAGTGGTATAAAGAGTCAGTAACTTGTTACCACTAGATCAGTCGTGGTACTGTTTGAAAAGTTTCTGTGGTATATAGAGTTAGTAACTTGTAATCACTCTATCAGTCATGATACTATTGTGGGTGTTTTTGTGGTATATAGAGTCAGTAACTTTTTATCACCAGATCAGTCGTGATACTATTATGGGTGTTTTATTGCTATTAAAAGTCAGTAACTTGTTATTACAGGTTTAATCGTGGTACTGTTTGGAAAGTTTTAGTGGTATAAAGAGTCAGTAACTTGTTACCACTAGATCAGTCGTGGTACTGTTTGGAAAGTTTTAGTGATATTTAGTCAGTAACTTGTTATCAGCAGATTGGTCGTGGTACTATTGTGGGTGTTTTAGTGGTATATAGAGTCAGTAACTTGTTATCACTAGATCAGTTGTGGTACTGTTTGGAAAGTTTTAGTGGTACATAGAGTCAGTAACTTGTAATCACCAGATCAGTCATGGTATTGTTTTGAAAGTTTTAGTGGTATAAAGAGTCAGTAACTTGTTACCACTAGATCAGTCGTGGTAATGTTTGAAAAGTTTCAGTGGTATATAGAGTTAGTAACTTGTAATCACCAGATCAGTCGTCGTAGTATTGTGGGTATTTTAATGGTATATAGTCAGTAACTTGTTATTACTAGATCATTCGTGGTACTGTTTGGAAAGTTTTAGTGGTGTATAGAGTCAGTAACTTGTTATCACTAGATCAGTCGTGGTACTGTTTGGAAAGTTTTAGTGGTACATAGAGTCAGTAACTTGTTATCACTTGATCAGTCGTGGTACTATTATGGGTGTTTTATTGCTATAAAAAGTCAGTAACTTGTTATCACCAGATCAGTCGCGGTACTATTGTGGGTGTTTTAGTGGGATGTAGAGTCAATAACTTGTTATCACTAGATCAGTCGTGGTACTGTTTGGATAGTTTCAGTGGTATATAGAGTTAGTAACTTGTAATGAGCAGATCAGTCGTGGTATTATTTTGGGTGTTTTAGTGGTATAAAGAGTCAGTAACTTGTCATAACCAGTTACGTTGTGGTACTGTTTGGAAAGTTTTAGTGGTATATAGAGTCATTAACTTGTTATCACTAGATCAGATGTGGTATTGTTTTGAAAGTTTCAGTGGTATAAAGAGTCAGTAACTTGTTACCACTAGATCAGTCGTGGTACTGTTTGAAAAGTTTCTGTGGTATATAGAGTTAGTAACTTGTAATCACCCTATCAGTCATGATACTATTGTGGGTGTTTTTGTGGTATATAGAGTCAGTAACTTTTTATCACCAGATCAGTCGAGGAACTGTTTGGAAAGTTTTAGTGGTATAAAGAGTCATTAACTTGTAATCACCAGATCAGTCGTGATACTATAGTGAGTGTTTTAGTGGTATATAGAGTCAATAACTTGTTATCACTAGATCAGTCGTGGTACTGTTTGGAAAGTTTTAGTGGTATATAGATTCAGTCACTTGTAATAACTAGAGCAGTCGTGGTACAATTGTGGGTGTTTTAGTGGTATATAGAGTCAGTAACTTGTAATCACCAGATCAGTTATGGTACTGTTTGGAAAGATTTAGTGGTATATAAAGTCAGTAACTTGTTATCACTAGATCAGTCGTGGCACTGTTTAGGGTGTTTTAGTGGTATAAAGACTCAGTAACTTGTAATAACCAGATAAGTCGTGGTACTGATTTTGGAAAATTTAGTGGTAGAACGAGTTAGTAACTTGTTATCACCAGATCAGTCGTGGTACTATTGTGGGTGTTTTAGTGGTATATAGAGTCAGTAACTTGTTATCACTAGATCAGCCGTGGTACTGTTTGGAAAGTTTTAGTGGTATAAAGAGTCAGTAACTTGTTAATACAAGATCAGTCGTGGCACTGTTTAGGGTGTTTTAGTGGTATAAAGACTCAGTAACTTGTAATAACCAGATAAGTCGTGGTACTGATTTTGGAAAATTTAGTGGTAGAACGAGTTAGTAACTTGTTATCACCAGATCAGTCGTGGTACTATTGTGGGTGTTTAAGTGGTATAAAGTGTCAGTAAGTTGGTATCACCAGATCAGTCGTGGTACTATTGTGGGTGTTTTAGTGGTATATAGAGTCAGTAACTTGTTATCACTAGATCAGTCATGGTTCTATTTGGAAAATTTTAGTGGTATATAGAGTCAGTAAGTTGTTATCACTAGAGCAGTCGTGGTACTGTTTGGAAAGTTTTAGTGGTATATAGAATCAGTAACTTGTTTTCACAAGATCAGTCGTGCTACTGTTTGGAAAGTTATAGTGGTATAAAGAGTCAGTAACTTGCTATCACCAGATCAGTCGTGGTACTATTGTGGGTGTTTAAGTGGTATAAAGTGTCAGTAAGTTGCTATCACCAGATCAGTCGTGGTACTATTGCGGGTGTTTTAGTGGTATATAGAGTCAGTAACTTGTTATCACTAGGTCAGTCGTGGTACTGTTTGGAAAGTTTTAGTGGTATATAGAGTCATTAACTTGTTATTACTAGATCAGTCGTGGTACTGTTTGAAAAGTTTCAGTTTTATAAAGAGTCAGTAACTTGTTATCACCAGATCAGTCGTGGTACTGTTTGGAAAGTTTCACTGGTATAAAGTTTCAATAACTTGTAACATGTGTAAACTGAGAACATGATAACAAGCACCTGTGGAGGCTTACATATTTGAACAATAACTGTGTTTTTCTTTCTTTTCAGAAATATTTATTGCCTTTTCAATTGCACCGGAATTGGGCACCGCTCGTACAACTTATACAAAGTCTTTCCCCAACAATAAAACATCTAGGCCTATATATCTAACTCAAGATGGCATATTTACAATACTTAAGTAATCACATGTTCATTCTGTATATTCATACGCATCTCGCACTCTCGTACAACCGCAAGTACACAGCATGAGAGAAAGAGAGTGGGGGGATCAATAAATTTTGATAAATTATGTAATTCTTTACATAGTGAAAGAATATTGCGCATTAGGAATGTTATTGCATTCAAACCCGTTGCCAAGTACAGATATCTAGAAGATGATAGGTTACACTATAGTCTTGTTCAATGACACCAGAACATATATTCTCTTTCGATACAATATAAAATGGACATGTTATAAACCTTTTAAGATATCTGGCCAAAAAAGTTAGTTTGTTGCTTTTATTATTATTCGTTGTTATTACACGAAAATACTTATACATATCAGCGTCATATTAGTTAAAAACAAAACGATAAAGAATATTATGTTGAATAATTTTTAGCTAAGCGACCCTTTGCCCATGAAGGCACTCTTCGTAAAGCGGCGTCCCAAAATTTTCTGAAGTACTCAGTATTTTTAACTTCACTTGCGAGATATTGGGGATGTGTTTGATAAACCAAATTCTGATAAGCTTCGTTTTGGTCCATTGAGATGGTAGCGCCAATAGACTGGAAATGTGTGTCTTTCACGAGCTCCACTAGCATTCCAAAAATGTACACGTCATCGACTGTACAGTAGGGCACTGAAAAGGAGGCTCTGTACATTTCCGGTACCAGGTCCGCAGTGAATAAGATCATATTGGCAAAACAAGTAGTCGGGAAAGTTTTCTGACCAGGCAGAATATTATCTGGAATGTACCATCTACTATTTCTATTTCTTACTATTACGTTCGTGTTGTTAGGTCGCACGTGACACATGATTACTTTGTTTTCTGTGAAAATTTCAGACACAGCGAATTCAATAACGTAGAAAATGTTGACGAACATATCATCGTCGGCCTTGATGATGTATTTCGCATGAAGACAATTATCATTGATCCACTGCAGGGCTAGCAGACTTTTCATAGAAATTTTAGTGCGCCCGTCTAGGAAATCTCCCTCAACTATATCCCCATACTTTTCGTTTTCGGATTCAATCTGTGTTTGATCGGCTGCTGTAGGTGGCCGCCCAAGAAAAAATACAGTTTTGATTTGGATATCGGTGAACGTATTCGTTCCTGCCCACGATTCTCGCATTGCTATTCGCTGGTGAAAATTGTTCCAGGAACTCAAGGAGTAAATAAGAATATCTACGGTAGAATTCTTACAAACGGAATTCGAAATCAGGCTTGGTTTAACTAAGATTGGATGAAACTTTCCTGATATATACTTCTCTGTCGGCTTTCTTTGAAACCAGCCTGTTATTTCGTTCTTGTTTTCAAGCTTTTTGGATGCTTGTGACTGTTCTTTTCCTATATTTTCATAGTTTCTGTTTTCACCAAATACTGCTAGGAAAATTTTCCTATTTTCTTGTACCTCCCGTGACATCTGCAATTTAAAGATTCTACTCGTTCTCGAGAACGAGTGTGATTTCATTGAGATTAGGATTGACACTCCACAAGCAAAAACCACGAATCCCGCAAAGGCGTTTTCACAAAATCGGGAGGATTTCCTATGTAGCGCCATGATGATATGATGATGTTCCTCGTGGACGATCTCCAGCAACTTTAAGGGTAGCTTGATTCTCTGAAGATGGATTGTATCTTGTACTGGTGAACATCTGAAACAAGAGTATACGGGATGTTGGTAATTGACAAAATCCTAACGAAAGTTACAGGAAAAAGAATGTTAGGGTTTAATAATCAGAATTATGCTTGAGAAAAGAATTAGGGTACCAATCTTACGGTCATACTGCTTTATCTAGAAGCGGAAATAATATATATATGTGTGTGGTGGTGGTGGTGTTGGTGGTGGTGGTGTGTGTGTGTGTGTGTGTGTGTGCGTGTTTGTGTGGGGGAGGGTATATGTGTGTGGTAGTAGTGGTGTTGTGTGTGTGGTGTTGGGGAGTGTGTGGGGGGTGGGGGAGGTACATGTGTGTGTGTGTGTGTGTGGTGGTGGCGAGTGTGTGTGTGGGGAAGGTACATGTGTGAAGTGGTGATGGTGATGTGTGTGTGGTGGTAGTGGTTGGTGGTTGTGGTGGTGGTGGTGGTGTGGTGTGTGTGTGTGTGTGTGTGTGTGTGTTTGTGTGGGGGAGGGTATATGTGTGTGGTGGTAGTGTAGTAGTGGTGATGTGTTTGTGTGTGTTTGTGGGGGTATATGTGTGTAGTTGTGGTGGTGTTGCGTATATGTGTGTTTGTGGGGGGAGGGTATATGTGTGTGGTGGTTGTGGTGGTGGTGGGGAGTATGTGTGTGGTGATGGTGGGGAGTGTGTGTGTGGGAGTGTGTGTGGGGAAAGGGTATATGTGTGTGGTGGTGCTGATGTGTGTGTGGTGTTGGGGAGTGTGTGTGTGGGGAAGGGTATATGTGTGTGGTGGTGGTGATGTGTGTGTGGTGGTAGTGGTTGTTGGTGGTGGTGGTAGTGGTGGTGGGGATTGTATGTGGGGAGGTACATGTGTGTCGTGGTGGTGGTGTTGGGGAGTGTGTATGTGGTGGTAATGGTGATTTTTGAAGGGGGTATGTGTGTGGTGGTGCTGGTGATGTGTGTGTGGTGATGGGGAGTGTGTATGTGGGGGAAGGATATGTGTGTGGTGGTAGTGGTGATGTGTGTGTGGTGGTAGTGGTTGGTGGTGGTGGTGGTGGTGGTGGTGATGGTAGTGGTGGTTGGGAGTGTGTATGGAGGGGAGGTACATGTGTGTGTGTGTGTGTGTGGTGATGGTGGTGTGGAGTGTGTGTGTCGGAGGTTCATGTGTGTAGTGGTGATGGTGAGGTGTGTGTGGTGGTAGTGGTTGGTGGTTGTGGTGGTGGTAGTGTAGGTTGGGAGTGTGTGGGAGGTACATGTGTGTGTGTGGTGGTGGTGGTGGGGAGTATGTGGGGGAGGGTATATGAGTGTAGTTGTGATGGTGATGTGTGTGTGGGATATGTATTTGTGGTGGTGGTAGTAGTGGTGGTGGAGGGGAGTGTGTGTTTTTGGGGGTTGAAGGGTTATATTTGTGTGGTGGTGGTGTTGATGTTTGTAGGGGGTATGTACTGGTAAACATCTGAAACAAAAGTACACGAGATGTTGGTAATTGACAAAATCCTAACGAAAGTTATTGGAAAAAGAATTTTATGGTTTAATAATCAGAATTATGTTTGTGTGGGGGAGGGTATATGTGTGTGGTGGTAGTGTGGTTGTGGTGATGTGTTTGTGTGTGTTTGTGGGGGAGGTTATATGTGTGTGGTGGTAGTGGTAATGTGTGAAGGGAGTATGTGTGTGTCGTGGTGGTTGTGGTGATGGGGAGTGTGTTTGGGAGAGTGTGTGTGGGGGGGGGGAGAGTATATGTGTGTGATGGTGGTGGTGATGTGTGTGTGGTGTTGGGGAGTGTGTGGGGGGAAGGGTATATGTGTGTGGTGGTGGTGGTGGGCATTGTGTGTGGGGGTGGTGGTGGTGGTGGGGAGTGTGTGTGGGGGGTGAGGGTATATGTGTGTGGTGGTGATGTTTGTGTGGTGGTAGTGGTTGGTGGTGGTGGTAGTGGTGGTGGGGAGTGTGTATGGTGGTGATGGTGATATTTGTAGGGGGTATGGGTGTGATGGGGCTGGTGATGTGTGTGTGGTGGTGGGGAGTGTGTATATGGGGGGAAAGGTATATGTGTGTGGTGGTAGTGGTGATGTGTGTGTGGTGGTAGTGGTTGCTGGTGGTGGTGGTGGTGGTGGTGGTGGTGGTGGTGGTGGTGGTGGTGGTGGTGGGGAGTGTGTGTGTGTGGGAGGTACATGTGTGTGTGTGGTGGTGGTTGTGGTGGTGGGGAGTGGTTGTGTTTGTGGGGAGGTACATTTGTGAAGTGGTGATGGTGATGTGTGTGTGGTGGTAGTGGTTAGTTGTTGTGGCGGTGGTAGTGGTGGGGGGAGTGTGTGTGTGGGGAGGTACATGTGTGTGGTGGTGATGGTGGTGAGGAGTGTGTGTTTGTGGGAGGTACATGTGTGTGTGGTGTTGGTGTTGGGGAGTGTGTGTGGGGAGGGTATATGTGTGTGGTTGTGATGGTGATGTGTGTGTGGGATATGTATTTGTGGTGGTGGTAGTGGTGGTGGTGTTGGGGAGTGTGTGTGTGTGTGTGTGTGGTGTGTGTGGTGGGTATATGTGTGTGTGTGTGTGTGTGTGTGTGTTTGAGTGTGTTTGTGTGCATATGTGTGTGGTGTGTGTGTGTGTATATATATGTGTGTGTGTTTGTGGTGGTGGCGGTGGTGGTGGTCTGTGTGTGTGAGGGGGAGGGTGTATTTGTGTGGTGGTAGTGTGGTAGTGGTGATGTGTTTGTGTTTTTGTAGGGGTATATGTGTGTGGTTGTGGTGGTGTTGTGTATATGTGTGTTTGTGGGGGTAGGTTATATATGTGTGGTGGTAGTGGTTATGTGTGTGGGGAGTATGTGTGTGTGGTGGTGGTGGTGGGGAGTGTTTATGGGGGAGTGTGTGTGGGGAAAGGGTATATGTGTGTGGTAGTGGTGATGCGTGGTGGTGGTGGTGGTGATGGTGATGAGGAATGTGTGTGTGGGGGGAGGTACATGTGTGTGTGGTGTTGGTGTTGGGGAGTGTGTGTGGGGGGAGGGTATATGTGTGTGGTTGTGATGGTGATGTGTGTGTGGGATATGTATTTGTGGTGGTGGTAGTGGTGGTGGTGGCGAGTGTGTGTTTTTGGGGGGTGGTTTTTTATATGTGTGTAGTGGTGGTGATGTGTGTAGGGAGTATGTGTGTAAACATAGTATATATGAGATGTTGGTAATTGACATATATATATACATGTGTGTGTGTATGTGGTGAAATAATATATATGTGTGTGGTGGTGGTGGTGGTGGTGGTGGTGTGGTGGTGTGTGTGTGTGTGTGTGTGTGTGTGTGTGTGTGTGTGTGTGTGTGTGTGTGTGTGTGTGTGTGTGTGTGTGTGTGTGTGTGTGTGTGTGTGTTGTGTGTGTGTGTGGTGGTAGTGGTGTTGTGTGTGTGAGTGGTACATGTGTGTGTGTGTGTGGTGTCACATGTGGTGTGTGTGTGTGTGGTGATGGTGATGTGTGTGTGGTTGTAGTGGTTGGTGGTTGTGGTGGTGGTAGTGGTGGTGGGGAGAGTTGTGTGGGGGAGGTACATGTGTGTGTGGTGGTGATGGTGGTTGGGAACGTTTGTGGTGGGGGGAGGTACATGTGAGTGTGGAGGTGGTGGTGGTGGGGAGTGTGTGTTTTGGGGGGTTGGGGGGTTATATGAGTGTGGTGGTGGTGATGTGTGTAGGGGGTATGTGTGTAATCAAATTAGTATATATGTTACTTAATTACTATATATATATATTATGTATTGATTATATGTAAAAAGGGCATTGCTTTGAATTGTCCATCGCTCACACCTATCAATAATGGTCATCAAGAACACGACAGACTTCTGTATTTGCCACTTACATCTATATTTTCCCGACAACAAAACCAACATGGACGACTTTCCTCGAAGCTGAATGATAACCGTAATGATTTCGATTTCTGGCAGATAAACTCACAATAAAGGATTTCAAGAGATGTAGTTTGATGTATTTGATGCTCATTCCTATGTTTGATGGTTCCGTTGTTTTAGTTCTCAAAAGGGAACGAGACATAACAAAATGGACTTGAATTGTCCATAGTAATAGCAACAACAATACTTATACTTTATCTGTGGTAGGGGAGGGTATAGTACAATAAACATCTGGAACCCCGACTTGTCCATAGTAATAGTAACAACATCACTTATACTTTATCTGTGATAGGGGAGGGTATAGTACAATAAACATCTGGAACCCTGATTTGTCCATAGTAATAGGAAGTAACAACAATTCTTATACTTTATCTGTGGTAGGGTATAGTACAATAAACATCTGGAACCCCGACTTGTCCATAGTAATAGTAACAACATCACTTATACTTTATCTGTGGTAGGGGAGGGTATAGTACAATAAACATCTGGAACCTCGACTTGTCCATAGTAATAGTAAGTAACAACAATTCTTATACTTTATCTTGTACAATAAACATGGAACCCCGACTTGTCCATAGTAATAGTAACAACATCATTAATACTTTATCTGTGTAGGGGAGGGGTAAACAGGGACTTGTCCATAGTAATAGTAACAACATCACTAATACTTTATAGGGTACAATAAACATCTGGAACCTCGACTTGTCCATAGTAATAGTAAGTAACAACAATATTAATACTTTATCTGTGGTAGGGTATAGTACAATAAACATCTGGAACCCCGACTTGTCCATAGTAATAGTAAGTAACAACAATATTAATACTTTATCTGTGGTAGGGGAGGGTATAGTACAATAAACACCAGGAACCCCGACTTGTCCATAGTAATAGTAACAACATCACTAATACTTTATCTGTGGTAGGGGAGGGTATAGTACAATAAACATCTGGAACCTCGACTTGTCCATAGAAATAGTAAGAAACAAAAAAATAAATACAATGTCTGTGGTCGGGGAGGGTATAGTACAATAAACATCTGGAACCCCGACTTGTCCATAGTAATAGTAAGTAACAACAATATTAATACTTTATCTGTGGTAGGGTAGTAACAACATAGTAATAGTAAGTAACAACAATATTAATACTTTATCTGTGGTAGGGGAGG